GTTATTATCGGAGAGGAAAAAAACTGAGTATTTTGAGATGCTTTGTTAAAGTTGCATTATTGGAAAGGAAGAAGAGTTAGATATTTTTGTAGGTCTGCCTTGTTATGGAAACAGAGGTTGACATATGTAGGGATTTCCCAATAACAGGTAATGGTGTTGTGCCTTTACTCTTGTCAGCAACTGTGCTGTAATTAGAACAGTAAGATTCATGCGTTTTCATCTTTATCAAAGATCTTTGACAAAGTTGCACATGATATCCAAAAGCTGAAATTGCATCTGAGAAATGTTGACGAACTTTATCTTGAAAATCTGGCTTTTAAAATTCAGAGAGCGATGTCTCTTCGGTTTTTGAACAAGTGGCCATGTTGCTTCTTCTTTTATAGAAACATCAATTGTGCTCAAAATGTATGCTTGAAAAACAACTGCATGTAGAATTTTCTCTTTCTTACACTTTTGAGATTTTATCTTACCTCTTTTTTCTTTCATCATTTCTGAAAAATGACTCGCCTATCTAACATTTGCTTAGATTTGAATCTTAAAAGTGGTACAGATGAGCTGCGTCAAGATAATATATAGCGCCCGTCCTTCTTATCTTCTAATGGTTCTCTTACGGTTGGGGACTCTGTGATGAAGAATGACCTAACTGCTACAGTGGTAGCTAGGAATTTTCTCACTCTGAAAGATAATAGAATCCTTTCAAACCGGCCTGATGAGTCGGCCTTCAAGACTCCTTGGCTTTCAGTATTTAGTTTGCGGGCTCTATTTCTAATATGGGCTAACGCTTACTTGCTCAAACTCACTAAGTTGAATCATTGATGGCTGAGGTGGCAAGTCTTAAACAAGATATTAGAGGGCTCAAACAGGAGAATAGAATGTTACACATGCTTACAAATAATTACTTGACGAGCATGAAAAGAAAACTCGACCAGCTATTGGAATCTGAAGGTCGGACTCAAAATGACAATCAGGGGTTCAGGTCTTTATTCCAAAGACACCCATTGTCTTAGCTGTCTGGAGTTTCACCATGTACAGAGGATCCAAATAATCAACCTCTGGTGTCTTCCCTTTCTGGGGTACTTCCGAGTACTGAGGTTTCACATGAACAACATTTATGAAAGTTCCCTCCTGTTTGTTTGTTTTAACTCATGTGCATTTAATTTCTCGGAGATATTAATAGATAAGCTTTATTTCATTCAATGTATTGTGCCAAATACAATAGAGCATATACTTAACTAAGATGTGGTACTTCTGGACTAAATATTAATTTATCTTTACCTTCACGAAGATAAATGACCATTCTTAGTGTCTAAATAATTTGAGTATTCAACTCATAATCTTCAATACAAATGATTCTTTATAAACATCATGGATAAGATTCGTGTTGACATATTGTTCAATTCTGTAGTTCGAGACAATATATCTCTTAAAACTTTATAAATTTTCTAGACTCTTCAAGAGTCTAAATCTAATATTATCAACTCTTACAAGAGATTTTAGTATGCTACAATAATATCATAATGATAGTACTCACTAAGGCAATTTATATCATCTATTGGTATTTAAGTATATATTTTATCATTTACCCTTCCAAGATTTTCTTCAAGCAATCTGAATCATTCAGAGATTTTCTACACTTCATGACACATTTTCTTTTAGAATTTATACAAAGCAACTTGCTTCCATGTATATTTGAGGGATTTACTTATGGAAATATGATGTGAGCGACCCATAACATTTCATATATAATTCTCCATTCATATGAACTTGTTTATAAGAGCATAATTTCAGGTTTCAATTAGTAACCTTGTGTCATATCATGTGACTGTAATTCACTGTATTACAAATGCTCATATGTAACTTCATTTGGTTCAATATCTTTTAGCTATTTGTATCATATACACACATATATATGTCCATTTTTCCACGTTCTTACAAGATTGTAATGAAATTGCCTTTCTCCATTTTTGGCAAATAATATTTCCTTTCGTCAATGAACAAAAAAATGTGACTCACTATCAATACAGTTCATTAATGAATTTAGCAGCTACTTATAAAAACCAAAATTACCAGTGGTTGTCATCAATCATTGATCTCATATTCTCATGTGCATGCACATGCATAAAAGTTTTTAATTTCTTTGGATATCCATTGCCTCTTCAAGGGTATTACACTATTTCTTTCATCATAGTCATAATTTAGAGAATGTGAATCATAACCTCCTATAGAACGTTATAAAGCTGAGATTTTAATCTCCACTTCCGGGAGTTGAGTCATTGGAACCTATATGTTTATCATGCTTCATGCATGAGACATCAATATTCCCATGTCTGCAGATTGTCCTTTTTGGGACATATATCCATACGACGATTGTCATGCTTCTGGCATGCAACAATTATGTTTTGGGAATGTAATAGTTCAATAGTGTCATATTCTTTTTCTTTCAAAGTACTGAACCTGTTGAATCTAAGGATCTGCCACGCTTCATGTGTGCAACAGATTTGCTACCACATTATTTTGTCCAACAGGAACATCAATTCATGTAGGCACATTTGCAACAAGCATATGTGATTTTATTACTTTTGTTGCATCATTAAATGCATCTGGCATTTGATTTGCATATCGTTGCATCATTCAATTATTCTCACTTCATTTTTATATTAATTACCTTATGAGTAAAAATAAGACAAATTCTCTTCGTTCTTCTAGAACGGTTTTTTCTTATCATTCTTCTGAAAAAATATTTTCTCATCATTCTTCTGGAACGATGTTATTTTCTTCCCTTAACGGCGGGAAAACTGTCTTATCAAAATCCTAGTCTGCAAGCCGCGCGGTAAACATATCTCCAGTCAAGGGTTCCAAATATTGAATGATAGATGGTGAATCAAATTCAACATAAATTTCCAGTTTGCCTTCATGTCTCATTTTTAGTATATTGTGGCAGTGCAATAGGCACATAGATAACATAAAAAACTCGTACATGTGTAATGTTTGGATGGTACCCAAACACAAGTTGTACTGAGAAATATTGATGGCTGGTAACTGATCTCAACTAAACTTAATAATGAATTATGTATAATAGTATATCCACATGTAGAAAAACTTGCAATCTCGTTTTCATGAGCAGAGTGTGGGTAATCAATTTCATCCGCTCAATAAATACTTCTGCTAAATCATTTTTGAGTATGAACATGAGAAACATAATGTTCAACATCAATGCCCAATGACATGCAATAATCATCAAAACTTCGAGATGTAAACTCTCCAGCAAAATGTATCATACATCAAGGAATTTCTGGTCCTTATTTAATAGCCTATGAATTGAGACTCTCATGACCTTTATTACAATTAATTTGTGGCACTTCAGCTCTTCAAACTTAAGGTACTTATCTAGAAATTTCATATTCGATCTTGAGGATCTAGGAACTTAATTCCTGATCTTTTTGCATGATGAAACTTCGGGTCTAATCATTTTATGTGATGAGGATCAATAAACTTTGGATTAAGTATGTACTCATCGTAACAAAAAAAAAATACATTAAATAAATTAAAGTAATAGGCGGTAATTGCAGTCATAGTAAATAAATTGCTTTTAAGTAAATAAAGCTTGTGACAAAGATTTTGATTTAGCACCATTCACATAAATATGCCAAAACAGAAAATACAATGATTAAGTCCTCATCTTTTGCTTTTTCTTTTTCTTGGTCTGTCACTTCTTTTGTTTCATTCTTTTTATTTTATTATTAGTATTATTTTTATTTTTATTTCACAACTCTAAGTCCTTTTAGTTACTCAGGAAGTAATAGTAACAATAAGTTTCAATTGTTGTTCCTCCTCTAGTAAATTTCGAAAAAGTCGAAACGGTTCTCATAAGTTTTGAAGTCTGTGTCTGCAACTTATGCGAAGATCAAATTGTTAGATTTAGCTCAAATTTTAGTATGATATGGATAAGAGGATACCGAACAACTTTCGTGAAGAAACAATTTTGATCTGAGCTACTAAAATAGAGTTTTGGTACTCATAAGATGCCTGTCCAATTTTCTACGGAAATTGAAAACTGATTTGGTATTTTAAGCATCTGCGATGATCGCACTGTTGAAATTTTCTGAAAATTTGATATGTTGTAGGTACTAGGTGTATGAACAACTTTGAAGAGGAAATTATTTCAATCCTAGGTCTACAAGTTTGAGTTATGAGGCCGTTTACATGGTTGTCAGATTCTCTACGAATTTTGAATTTGTATTTTTTTGCTTCTGCAAAGGATGATATACAGTCATATAACAACATATATATATTTTCTTCAGAAAAATCAGTAGTACAAAGATTTTAAAATGAAATGAAAAGATTTTCTTATCTGTGAGATTCTAAGCAACATAGGTGAACAAGATTTGTCGTGTTGTGCTTTCCATTGACACCAGAGCTTCTCATGCTGATAACGTGTTGTAAAATTGACGGTGTGTGCAGTGGAATAAATAAACAAGACACAAAATTTATGAGGTTCCTCTATAGTCAGTGTGACTGGAGTATGTTCTCGGGGCAGCAGTGATGCTTTCATTATAATTTTGAATAATAAGATTACAAATATAACTCTTTCTATTATCTCCTCTTCTTTCTCTCTTCTTTCTTCCTTTACCAGCTGTATCTCTATCTGTGTATATTTGCTCTCCTCCTTCTCATCCATTTTATAGACAAGACTTTAGACAAAATTATGGTAAGATGAACGGTAAATTGGTAGTGGGATAGATAGTCATTCACAATGAATGACATGTGAATTACAACAAGATGGACATTCTTGATCGAAATGTTTTATAAAGGTTGAGGTATGTGCATTTCTAATTAGGAGAACTCAAGTTTTATCCATAAAAAATCGAGTGAAAATAACAACTTCCTCCCGTTTGAATTTCAGTTTTCTGTTGAGTTTCAGTCAAATGGTCCATCCGCCACTCTCGGTAAAACGACGTGTCGTCTTGCGGGAATATTCTGCTTCCCCTTTACACCAACACTCCCCTCGGATTAACTGAACTCAGAAGAAAAGTCAACAAAGCTTCGATGGCTGCAGCTTCGACTCTTCTCGCGCAACCAAAGGCCCACACAAACGATGCAGTCTCGTCTTTCCGAAGTCACTTCAAGTCATCCAGCTTCGCCTCCCAGTCAACGTCCTTTGGCTCCTCCAAATTCGCATCCAAATCGCTCTCCTTGCGCACCGCCGCAACCCGATCCGGCCGACCCGAACCCGCCACCTTGTCCCATTCGGAATCCCAGTCTGATCAAACATTCGATGTTTTAGTAATCGGAGCTGGAATAATCGGGTTGACCATTGCCCGGCAGTTCCTAATCGGGTCGGACCTGTCGGTCGCCGTAATTGACAAGTCTGTCCCTTGCTCTGGCGCCACCGGTGCCGGTAATGTTAACTTTTTCCTTCTAACTGACTGTTTGGTAGGCGGGAAAATCAAATTAGATGCCGGAAAAATGTTGGGTCAAATTTAATCTGATGAAAATGTTGACCTTTTGTTTTAGGCCAAGGGTATATATGGATGGGACACAAAACTCCCGGCAGCGACCTTTGGGACTTGGGGCTCAGAAGCCAGAAGCTTTGGGAGGAATTGGCTGAGAGTTTGATTGAGCAAGGTTTGGACCCTCTGCAACTATTGGGTTGGAAGAAAACAGGTCTGCGTTTCGAAGGCTCGTTTGCTACTGCTTTTGCAGAAAACACTTTTGTTCATAAGCGTTTTCAATAAAAATGATTGCTTTACAAACACTTCGAATTTTATATTAAAAATTCAAATGCTGCATGAAAAAACACTTGGAAGTGCTCCATGTGGCAGGTGCTTATTTAGAAAGAGCTTCTGGCGTGACCTAGAAGCAATCTTAAGTTTTTCTGCCAAACGTGGCTAGAAGAGATTTTGGTCGTTATAAAATGTTTTTTGAATTTCAAGTAGTCCCAAATATGCTTTATTTATTCAAATTTTGACCCACTATGAACCTCATTTATCGTTAACAAAAAAGATACTGACACATGTCACGTTGTTTAGTAGCAAATTCAATGAACAAATATGGTGATTCTATTAGTTTTTATATTTATTTTTAAGTGTTAGTCTGCTTTTATAGGAAGCTTGCTAGTTGGTAGAACTCCTGAGGACTTAGACGTGTTGAAAAGGAGGGTTAAGCAGGTATGTGAAGCCGGGTTAAGAGCGGAGTACTTGTCTTCCAGTGACTTGCATGTAAAGGAACCTGAACTCTTGGTTGATAAAGACACTGGAGCTGCCTTTCTACCTGATGATTGCCAGTTGGATGCACGCTGTGGCGTTGAATATCTTGAACAGGTTTTTCATTTATTCTGCCCTGAATTTTATTAATTTCTGGCACGTGTATGATATTGTGTATTTACACATTGCATAGTGAACAAATTTAGTGATCCTTTCGTTATTGGTATAATTAATGATCTGCCACTTACGCAGGGTAACAGGAATTATGCATCGAAGGGTAGATATGCTGAGTTTTATAATCATCCGGTGATTAGTTTATTAAGGTTTGCTGTCATGTTTTATTCGGTGCTTTGGAGATACACTGAGAAACCAACGGACAAGAATGGAGAATTTGGTTTTCAGTAGTTCAGTTACATTGTTAAGCTAATACTCATACTTATCTTATGTGCTCAGATCTGGTGGCAAGGGGGAGGTTGTGGCTATTAAGACTTCTAAGAATACGTTGTACTGTAAGAAGGCTATCGTAGTCGCAGCCGGTTGTTGGAGTGGGTCTTTGATGCGTGACCTGCTGAAAGAATCAGAAATTGTGGTGGATGTCCCCGTGAAACCACGAAAGGTTTAAATTAGGATTTGAACAGACTTCTCTTGCGTATATTAAACCAACTTAGCTGGATTTCCAGATGCATAAATGTAATTTAATAATATTGCTTTGATTAGGGATAACTTATAACCGAAGTTTGTATGTGTTTTATGCTATCCAACCTTCTGAACGATTTGCTCTAATTGCTCCAACTTTTATCTAAGAACGACGTAAGATTTTTGTTCTGCATGACAGGGTCACCTTTTAGTGCTTGAGAATTTTAATTCCTTTCATCTCAATCATGGGCTGATGGAGGTGGGATACGTTGATCATCAAACTGCAAATCCGCTTCCAAGCATATCGACCTCTGAATTGCTTAATCAAGATGAGCAAACCTTGTCTGTGTCAATGACAGCCACTATGGATGCAATGGGGAACATTATTCTTGGTAAAATTTTACTATGATTATTTGTTTCGTTTCTTGACAAGACATGGAATTTTGTAAATAATAACTTGCAGTTACCTATGAGTCTCAAGCTCATGTTTTACAAATCCAAGAGAGTCTTACCTCCAGTTATTATGACTTTCTAGGAAGCAGCCGCCAATTTGCTGGGTTCTGCACCGAGTTGGAAGAATCCATTATTAGCCGTATATGGGAGCGAGCTGGGGAGTTCTTTCCCAAATTAAAAGAAAAGCCCCTTTCAGATATCAGTAAGAGTACAGAAGTGCGAGTAGGATTACGACCTTACAGTAAGTCCTGAAATCTTTTAGAACCTAATTTATGTGATCCTCTGGATCATTGGATTCTAAGATTTATGCTAGTACTAAAAACTTTTGTCATTTCCGGCGAATTGAAGAATGACATAACCTTGTATCTCAGTGCCTGATGGGAAGCCAGTGATTGGGCCTGTGCCAGGTTTGGCAAACGTGTTCCTTGCAACCGGGCATGAAGGGGGAGGGCTTTCCTTGGTAATTTTTTGTACTGATTATTTGTTAAAAGTTATGTCAAGTGAAGGAAGAATCATCCATCATTTCGTTCCAATTTCAGGCTCTAGGGACTGCCGAAATGCTCACGGATATGGTGCTAGGAAATTCTGAGAAGGTTAACTCTGCACCGTTCACTGTTCATGGTCGATGTTGATGATAAAACCACCGGTGTATTCAACATTAAGACAGTAATTTTCATGATCATTTCATGGGCTATATGAATCATAAATTCATAACGTAGCTTGGGCAATCTGGATACCTTTCTGCTCATCTTTATGCATTTCATACCTTATCTTTCATCTTGTACGATTGTTTTGTGCTATTTAGCCAGGTGTTCTATAGAAAAGTGTTCTGTACATATTTCCACGTTTTCTTATAAATTAAAATACATTATGCTGCGGTTCCTGGGCTTGAAAAGTTGTATATCTTTTATACTGCCTAAAACATGTCAAATTGATATACTGTTTGGAATCCCCTTCCCCGTGATGCCCCCTCTGGATTCAACATTGGGTGCATCAGGGTACAAAAGCATGTAAGGAATCTTGGCATGCCCCCGTCTGTTGGTAAGCCTGGGATCGGTATTCTTCCACTCAATTCTTTTCTCTAACATTCGAAGTTTTCTTTTGAACTTTTCGAACTTATCGCTAACCTGTTCATCATGCATCCACAATGCATCACGGTACAAAAGCATGTAAGAAATCACATAATATTATTGTTTGCAAAGAAAACAATGGCAGGTAATAGTACCCAAACATAAATTCCCCACCATTTTAAACTGGGAAGACAAAAACAGATTAGGGATAGCACCCAACTATCAAAACCACACTTCAGTTCAGCAAGCAAGTCCGTGTCTGCCGTAGTTGTTTCATGGATGAAACATGAACCAAGGGTCCATGTATATTATCTCTGCATTCTCCGAGACACACCAAAACGGGAGCACCTTTTTTACTTGTTCCGGAAAACCTCCGACAATAACAGCTGGCTCCACAATCATCTTCTCGAGCACAGGTGAACTTGAAAGCAAAATTTTGATGAAATCTAATTCAGCGCTAAGACCAGATACTTCGGTTATTTTCAGAAGTCGCAGTTGAGTGAGTTGGCAATTCTGGTTGTCGTCCAATGCGTAGTTCATTTTCCCCCCAACATCCTCATCCCCTTTGCGGGCCTACGCAAATAGATATCATCAGAGACTAACTCTAAAAGTACAATTATTTTAGAGTTGGGCTGACATTTGTAATTGAACACCAGGATATGTTACAAAAACTAAAACTCACCAAAATTTCTAGTTCTTGTAGAGCAGGGACGCTTCTCAGAAGGCATAAGGCAGTTAAAGTCTCCTTTCTATCATTGAAGCCTATGTGTATAGACAGAACCTTCAGGTATCGGAGCGGTTGAGGCATCTTTTCTGGCAAGACTCCAAGACCCAAATACTAAAGGTTCATAGAATCAGCAAATTGAAAGTATATGGTCAAATTCTGATAGCCATAAAAGCTGACTAGCTACTAATTGGAGGTATGAAACCACAAAACCATTACCTTTAAGAAGTACATTTCGATACGAAGCCTTTGAATCCAAGGCAGATGAACAAAAAAGTTGAGCAAATTGCTACAACTTCCAGCAGTCCGTCCTTGGTTATTTGCAATGCTAACAGTCGAAGTTGAAGTCAACCAAATGCGAACATTGGCCAATTTTAAGGTATTCACAAGACTAACATACTCAAAAACACCTTTAAAGGAAAAACGAGAGAGATTCGGTGCATCAATCTTGAGATGGGTGAATCCATCACAGTTGATCAAGACAAATATCTCAAGGAGAGGACAACAAGTAATCAGATTCTCAAGCACACCTTGGTCCAAAGTTACTTTCATAAAACCAAGCATCTTCAAACTCCTGAACCCTTTGAATGTGGGCGGAGGTTGAAGCAAACAATTAAGTAACGCCAAATAAATCAAATTTTGACAGGAGAACAAATATGAAGACACGTTGTAGATATGCTGAGTATGTAAGTTAAGGACCAACTCTTTGATAGAGTTTCTTGACAGATGAATAATCCATCGATCAATATCTTCACTAGCTTGATATCCGGAAAGAGTGACCTCGAACATGTTTATGGGGCCAACGAGACCTTGGAGTACATGGTCAACAATTTTAGCAAAGGTTGTATGGTTTTGACTCGAGGTGCGCCGGTTATCAAACTGAAGACGAGTAAGCATAGTCCATTTGTTCATCCAGTTGCTGGATAAAACGCTAGTCCTCACTGCCTCCCTAAGTGGCATATGTGACAAAATTTTGCCTATAATATCACTCGGTAAGTTGCTAATTCTGTCCAACTCCATATCCATTTTCACAGGAGACTTTGGTGGTTTTATGTCCACCTGAAATATTCCAGAGATGAAAAAAGAATCTTCAGTCTAACAAACTAGCCACCGTTGTTACCTGCATTTAGTATTTAAGCCCCAACTTTATGCAATTAAAAGTGTGGAAACAGATAAGGTAAGCAAACATAGTTCAAAACTAATTGTCATATAGCTATCAAAATCGCGGGCAGTAGCGTGTAGGTTCAAGATTCAAGTGGTAGTATCAGGTCCCTTGGCTATTGTTCTTAGAACTGACCTGGTCTGGCGATCCATGGCATCCCAATTCGATTGAATGGGATGATAGTTTCTCATTCTCCATCTGTAAAAACATAATTTTGATTAAATCACACATCGCATATATACCCGGCCTTCTAATTCTTTAAAAGATTTGTCTAAAAGATTCATGATATACTAGGAAAGACGTTTCAAATACCACACATAGGTTATTGGGCATGTGTTTTGACTACCAAAGGGAAATCACCAAAAGCGGCAGTATATATTCATTACAAGAACAACTGAACAACAACTTAAATTCTAAAAGAGAATAAGATTACAGGGTGCAAAAACCCCTACTCAACCCTTCTTCACTTTCCTCCAACAAAACAAGTACAAAATAGAAACGAGATTGTTATCAAACGGTCCTAAATTTCCTTTCACTCGAGATTGAGAACAAAACAAGCAAACACACTGAAAACTTGGCACATTTTACTAGTACTCACAAGAGAATGTCTCGACTGCATTGTTTATATATCAATCAAATGCACAAAATTAAAACCCCAAAAAAAAAAAGAAAAAAAAAACCATATGAATCAAATTTTGACGATGAGTATAGAGAAATAGAGACGGATGAGATGACGTTTCCTCCGCAAGATCGCTAAAGAGATATGATAGCAAACGAGTTTCAATTAACTGATTAAAGGTAAACATGCATGGAGAAAACGCTCAAGGTTAAAACATGCTGAAGTAATCGCTCGAGGTAAAAACATGCTCTGAAGGGGCTTACGTAATGAAGCGACGAAGTAACCCCAGATCCAAAAAAATAAAGAGCACTTCTTCCAAAGAAATACAACTCCAGCAAATTAAACAAATAAAAAAACGATCTGCTCCACACAAAAAAAAAAAAAAAAAAAAAAAAAAAAACAAACGATAGACATCACTGATTAGTCAACAAACCAGAAAACTGTTTCCCTACAAAAAAGATCACGTAAAAAAATATCCACGTATTCGAAATTCAATAATTAGTATTTTAATTTTAAAAAAAATCAATAATGAAATGTGATTTAAATAAATAGAAAAATGTTGACATGAATATTGTTTAAAGCACCTTAATCAAATCTTCAAGAGGAACCAATGTTTGATCTAAAAGGTATTGAAAAAAATGCAGGGAGCTCTAATTTTTTAGACCATACTTGTAAATTATGTATTGTGTCACTACTACAAAATAAGCACCTTATTCAATATTTAAGTAATAATTAAATTATCAACAATCACGTCTTATAATTTACAAAATATGGATTAACATTGATGGTCACTCTAGCATTAACTGATCCCATTTTTTTTGGTGAAACCGTGACCCCAAATTGGAGCTGCTGGCTTTATAAATAGAGATAATAATAAGGTAATGCTAGAGTGACCATCAGTTGAACCATATTTTATAAACTACGTGAAGTGGTGATTGATGATTGAAATCCTTTTTTAAATCATTAATAAAATTCAATCATCAATCGTCACATTATGTGGTCTACAAATATGGTCTAAAAACATTATCTTCCTAGTGTTTTTCATAATAATATACGTTGTTGCCCCATCATATATCTCCTATATGTAATGTTCTGATAATCCCCGCCTAGTGCCTAATGCCGTCTAGGCCCTGCTTAGGAGCTAGGTGGTGACCCTAGGCCTTTGAAAATTAAGAAAGAGCATCTAGACCTACTAAGGTGAACGCCTAGTGTGCCTAGGCACCCGCCTAGACCTGTCTAGGCACTTGCCTAGGTCTCAACTCTCACTTATACAGAAAATTGATAACTTCCATTTTGGAATATATTTTTTTATTAAAATGTAAGAGACTTGTTAAATACTCGAATGAACACTCATTATATGCTTGCTCCTCATATTCTCAATATATTTTAGTACTTTATAATTTATATGTCATTTTATTTTACAATTTATGTGTTTCAATACAATTATGTATTATTTTTAAGTATAAATACACTTATTTATACGATTTATAATAAATTTACTTAAATCCACCTAGTCCATCTGAAGTTAGGCCCCAGCCCACCGCCCGACTAGTGCCTAGCGTCTTTTAGAACTTTGCCTATATGAGAGAAATAGTTAGAGTCAATTTTTCCTTTCCAATTAAAAAGAAAGGGGGAAGCTAGTAGTAGGGTCTAATGATGTGGATGATTTAAGAAACTAATGAGTTCAAAACTAAATCACGAGCGACAAACCATGCAGTTCAACCCCATTCTCCAATCTTGTTGTATAAAAATAAAAAATAAATGTAAGGCAAGTGAACATTCTAGATTAAGATGTTTCGTAAAGGATGAACTGTGCATTTTCTCCGTAGAACTTTATCCATAAAAATTGAGTAAATCACTTCTTCCCGTTTGAATTTCAGCTTTCTGTTGAGTTTTATTCAAACGACGACCCATCGGCACTCCCGTTAAAACGACGTGTCGTCTCGCCGGAATATTCTGCTTTCCCTTTACACCTACGCTCCCCTCGGATTCACGGACTGAGGAGAGTCAACATAGCGGCCCCACACAAACGACGCCGTCTCGTCTTTACGAAGTCACTTCAAGCCATCCAGCTTTGCCTCCCTGTTAACCTCTTTTGGCTCCTCGAAATTCGCATCCAAATCGCTCTCCTTGTGCACCGCCGCAACCCGATCCGGCCGACCCGAACCCGCCCCCTTGTCCCATTCGGAATCCCAGTCTGATCAAACATTCGATGTTTTAGTAATCGGAGCTGGAATAATCGGGTTGACCAATGCCCGGCAGTTCCTAATCGGGTCGGACCAGTCGGTCACCGTAATTGACAAGTCTGTCCCTTGCTCTGGCGCTACCGGTGCCGGTAATGTTAACTTTTTCCTTCTTACTGACTGTTTGGTAGGCGGGGAAAATCAAAATTAGATGCCGGAAAATGGACTTGGATCCTCTCTCTTGAGCTAATGGAGAGGATCCTCCTCATCAATCATCATGGACCGTTGGATTTTTATCTAACGACTACAAATGGATTTATTTAAAGTTTTTCTGTCAAACGCGGTTAAAATAGATTTTGGTTGTCATAAAGTTTTTGAATTTCAAGTAGTACCAATATGATTAATTTATTCAAATTTTGACCCGACGTGGACCTCATTTATCGTTAACAGAAAAGATTCTGACACATGTCATGTTGTTTGGTAGCAAATTCAATGAACAAATATGGTGATTCTATTATTTTTTATATATATTTGAAGTGTTAGTCTGCTTTTATAGGAAGCTTGCTAGTTGGTAGAGCTCCTGAGGACTCAGACGTGTTGAAAAGAGGGTTAAGCAGGTATGTGAAGCTGGGCTAAGAGCGGAGTACTTGTCTTCCAGTGACTTGCATGTAAAGGAACCTAAACTCTTGATTGATAAAGACACAGGAGCTGCCTTTCTACCTGATGATTGCCAGTTGGATGCACACTGCAGCATTGAATATCTTGAACAGGTTTTTCGTTAATTCTAATTTTGGCCCTGAATTTTATTCATTTCCGGCACGTATGATATTGTGTATTCACACATTGTATAGTGAATAAATTTAGTGATCCTCTCGTTATTGGTGTAATTAATGATCACCCACTTACACAGGGTAACAGGAATTATGCATCAAGGGGTAGATATGCTGAGTTTTATAATCATCCGGTGATTAGTTTATTAAGGTTTGCTGTCATGTTTTATTCGGTGCACTGGAGATACGCTGAGAAACCAACGGACAAGAATGGAGAATTTGGTTTTCAGTAGTTCAGTTACATTGTTAAGCTAATACTCATACATTTCTTATGTGCTCAGATCTGGTGGCAATGGGGACGTTGTGGCTATTAAGAATTCTAGAATACATTGCACTGTAAGAAGGCTATTGTAGTCGCAGCTGGTTGTTGGAGTGGGTCTTTGATGCGTGACCTGCTGAAAGAATCAGAAATTGTGGTGGATGTCCACGTGAAACCACAAAAGGTTTAAATTAGGATTTGAACAGACTTCTCTTGCATATATTAAACCAACTTAGCTGGATTTCCAGATGCATAAATGTAATTTAATAATATTGCTTTGATTAGGGATAAGTTATAACTGAAGTTTGGACGTGTTTTATGCTATCCAACCTTCTGAACGTGTTGCTCTAATTTCTCCAACTTTTATTTAAGAACGACCTAAGATTTTTGTTCTGCATGACAGGGTCACCTTTTAGTGCTTGAGAATTTTAATTCCTTTCATCTCGATCATGGGCTGATGGAGGTGGGATACGTTGCTCATCAAACTGTAAATCCGCTCCCAAGCATATCGAATTCTGAATTGCTTAATCAAGATGAACAAACCTTGTCTGTGTCAATGACAGTCACTGTGGATACAATGGGGAACATTATTCTTGGTAAAATTTTACTTTGATTATTTGTTTCGTTTCTTGACAAGACATGGAATTTTGTAAATAATAACTTGCAGTTACCTATGAGTCTCAAGCTCATGTTTTACAAATCCAAGAGTATCTTACCTCCCGTTATTATGACTTTCTAGGAAGCAGCCGCCAATTTGCTGGGTTCTGATCCAAGTTGGAAGAATCCATTATTAGCCGCATATGGGAGCGAGCTGGGGAGTTCCTTCCCAAATTAAAAGAGAAGCCCCTTTCAGATATCAGTAAGAGTACAGAAGTGCGAGTAGGATTCTGACCTTACAGTAAGTCCTGAAATCTTTTAGAACCTAATTAACGTGATCCTCTGGATCATTGGATTCCAAGATTTATGCTAGTACTAAAAACTTTTGTCATTTCCGGCGAATTGAAGAATGACATAACCTTGTATCTCAGTGCCTGATGGGAAGCCGGTGATTGGGCCTGTGCCAGGTTTGGCAAACGTGTTCCTTGCAAGTGGGCATGAAGAGAGGGGGTGGGGAGGGGGGGTACTGATAATTTATTAAAAGTTATGTAAAATGAAGGAAGAATCATCCATCATTTGTTCCAATTTCAGGCTCTAGGCACTGCCGAAATGCTCACGGATATGGTGCTAGGAAATTCTGAGAAGATTAATTCTGCACCGTTCACTGTTCATGGCCGATGTTGATGATAAAACCACCAGTGTATTCAACATTAAAACAGTGATTTTCATGATCATTTCATGGGCTATACGAATCATTAATTCATAACGTAGCTCGGGCACTCTGGAAAGCCTAAGTTCTAAGGTTATGTCCAGGAGAACCTTTCTGCACATCTTTATGTATTCCATATATTGTCTTTTATCTTGCATGATTGTTTTGTGCTATTTAGCCAGGTGTTCTATAGAAAAGCGTTCTGTACATATTTCCACGTTTTAATATAAATTAAAATACATTATGCTGCGGCTCCTGGGCTCGAAAAGTCGCATATCTTTCATACTGCCTAAAACATGTCAAATTGATATACTGTTTGGAATCCCCTTCCCCGTGATGCCCCCTCTGGATTCAACATTGGGTGTATCAGGGTACAAAAGCATGTAAGGAATCTTGGCACGCCCCCGTCTGTTGGTAAGCCTGGGATCGGTATTCTTGGACTCAATTCTTTCCTCTAACATTCGAAGTTTTCTTTTGAACTTTTCAAACTTTTCGCTAACCTGTTCATTATGTATCCACATTGTTGATGGCCTCTGACCCAAGTACACTTCATCTGACGTGTGTTGTGAGAGCACCTCTGCAAGTGCTATACCCAAGATCATCTCATCCCTTTCAGGTAACATGCTAAGGTAGTATTTGTCTGGATCCGTCAAGAACTCTGCATATTCAAGTGTTCCTTCCTCAGGAATGAACCTTCGGCACAGTGTGGGACGATTTAGAGGATAACCAGCATATGCATATTGCCCAAAGTTTACTGAAGCATGCAAGGCTGATGCAATCCATATAAGAGTTGTCAAAGCTTTGATGAGGTCCTCGCGTGATGCCATTTGGTACCACCATGTCTCACTGCTCTTATCACCGTGACCAACATTTCGGATTTCAGACCACCATGCTTGGATTTCTTCATCAGATCTTACAGAAACGTCGTCTGTGTAGAAGAGCATGCAAAAATCTGTTACCCAAGCCTGGATAGCAGTCCATATCTCAAGTCCATCTGCAGCATAGGGATAGTCCTGGAAAAGGAGCTGAACCCCAGAAGGGTTATTCGGATCTGGGTCTTCTATGGCCATACCTCTGAAAAGTGTTCACAAAGAAATCACTTCTTGGAAAGCATCTTCAGATAAACAATATTGCTCACTGAATGTCGAATTATGACCCAGGGTTATCATGGAATTATAAATACCTTTTAAGTAGATCAGCAGGAAGGGCTTGTTCATCAAATCGCCACTCTTTGTAGAGCTCAGCAGATAACTGCATCGAGAGTTCAGCAGAAAACAATGTCTTCTCAAGGATTCCACCAGAGTTAATGAGCATACTCCGAGCCAGAGCGTTTACGTGCATGGTGTCTTTGAAATGAGGATCTAGTAGCCAATGGATTGGGTGCATCACACTGAGCTGCCTTCTAGTAGCAATGATGAAAGGCTCAACCACCGCATGTGTATGCAACCTAAAAAATTCATTGCACGGGCAAGCATTTTGGTTGTATGAAATGCAATGAACAATGATAAATGCATTATTTAGGGTTCATCAAACAGTTCAACTCACCAATGGCTGACTAGTTGATGATAGACAGAGTCATTAACTGCAACATGGGCCTTAGCATACTGCCAGAGTGCTGCAGCTTCACCCTGACTTGCCGGTAGAACTACCCAATTGATCTCATTGTCTACTTCTGAACCCGGCAAACTAAGTTCTATTGCTATTGGCTTTAGTGTGAAATCACTCTTCAAGAATAGTAGTGTACGGGATGCATAAGTACAAACATCCTTTGAGTTGATTTGGCTTAAGAAGGGCATGAGATAGTCATGGTGACCCAAGATGAATATTCTCCAGTTGTTCATTGCCTGTGAAGTTTATGGAAATTTATAAAAAGCAATTGCCATGAAAATGCATTCCTTCTGTGATACAACGTTGGGTTGATTTTACAACCCGGGGTGAATTATATACTGATTTTTCAGTTTGGGCGGCACAATGATCATATAGAATTACCTGAGGCAGAGTCATTCCTTCGAGGTTGTGCTCTATGTCTGATTGCTCTATTAAACTCACTGCTCCGCTTTTGCTTTGTGGTGGAAATACCTTCAATTTTCTCAGAAGAAAACCGATATATGAAGATAACTAGAACAGTTTTGTTGTTAATCGCGTAGAAACACTACAGGTTGATAAGGGTAGGATGTACCTCCAAGGATCGTATTCGTGCTGGATTGATTCCTGCAAGCATTTGGCGGCCAAACTCTTCATCATCCTTCCATGCAAATTCGTTTTCTGGAAAGTGGAAAACAACAATCTAAAGAGTTATGAAGTGGCATCTACCGTGCAAGCTGCAGTAGTGTACTAGTCAGCTCCGTCACCTGCTATGATTTGGGGAACTGGAAGTTTCAAGGGGTTCTTGATTGCATGAGTAACTTCTTTGAAAAACTCTTTTGGTACTATAGCTTTCAGTTTCTCTTTGAGAGCGCCCTCAATTACTTGACTTTTGTTGCGAGAAAACATGTCATGTATCTCATCAAATGACTCAAAATGATTGGAACCGGGCTGTATCACAGATTCTACCTTATGGGTCAGGAAATGCAGGACAGCCTGGATTGAGTTTGATGCGAACTCAGATTGTTTCTTGGGGCTGAACCTCTCATCCGGAGGAACGTATATGTCCAGGTTAACGGTACTTGGTCGGCTTTCAGTTAAAGGATCTATGATTTGTCGTGTTAGCCATGGAAATACTATTTGTTGAAATGAGACGAAAGAGAAGTTGTATACCTGCATTGCTAGGATGGCGGCCTGTTCTTCCTCTGCGCGGATATGGATGTAATTCCGAGCCACCCAAGACAGGTCTATTGTGTTCTTCACCTTTGTCAGGATCCCCGAGGTCATTGTAGTAATCATAATCGTAAATTCGTTCCCATTCTTTCCTCTCCCCAGTTCCATCTCCTCTCAAGCTAATAAGCTCTTCCTTCCTCAGTTCTATTAGAGCTTGGGGTGTTTGATTGGGAAGATATTTCTGTAACAACATGAGCAGCTGTGTTGCTTAATTGCATTTGCGAATACTTGGGTCAAATAAAACAGGCAAGTTAGTAGTTGTGCAACTTACAGTATTTGCAAAGAAAATTCGATCTAAATTTTTGGTCGTTCGGAATGGATACACCCAGGAGTGGCAGTCGAAAAGTGTAATCTGATTGTTCTGGATTTGAAGAGATGCAGATTGGAGGAAAAACCTTTTCTTGCCTCGGTTTGTTACAACCAAAGCTCCTGGATTTCCAAAGTTTAGTTCAACCTGGAACTTGACACTATATGTTCTGGTTTTTTCACCATCGTCTGTCTTGGTGGTTCCACTTTTGAGGTAAGCTTGGTTGCTCAACTTGCCCTTGCCAGTTTCTGTTGTATACAACATCAAGAAAGCAAAGATTTTCGGGTCACAGAATTACACGAAGCTCAATAGTTTTTCAAAGTAATTGCTCCACTTTGAACTTACTTGGATCAACTTCTGTCGAACTATATAATCGAAGAGAAGCTGATCTTCCCGAACCAGATTGTTTATGGCTCTGGACAACGACAATTTCTCCTTTGATAGTTGAGTGTCTGCTCCGCGATGGGCTAGTAACTGGGTGGCGCTGGTGTTGCATATTTGCTGCCTCTTGCATGGAAAAGTGACTCGGCAAATCAACGATGGAGAACTTATTATGAGAAAAATGAAGTTATTAATAATGTAGATGAATGCGAAACGTAAAGACTTATGCTTTGCCTCTTATTCTTACCTAGGCATGTGATTCGTTGCTTGACGAGAGGTTTTCTTCTTCTTTTGTGATATTTTAGTTCCATTCCGAGTACAAGTTTTGTGATTCTGTCCTTGATTCTTTTATCGATATCGCTAGTAGACTTGCGAAAATTGAGCAACAGATGCGTCAGGTGGAAAACGAGAAGTGCCCAAAAGGTGCCAAAGGGTGCCAACTGGGAAAATCTGCCCGCTATCGTATCCAATTGCATTCGCTTGTGCAACAAGTAACAACCACGTAACGGCATCTGCATTTAGGTGGAAAATCTTTCACTCTACTCCTCTTATGAACACCATAGACTGTATCATGTTGTCTATTGCTCGAAACATGAAGTGGCTACCTTACGTGTTGTAGTGGACTGTCGCATTATGCTTGAAATTGATGTTATTGAGCACTTGTGGAATCAACAAGGAGACCAAGAAGTACAACAAGCATCTGCATCTGCGTCCAGCCTACATATTTTCCAGTTTCCCTGGAAAATTAAATAGAATGTATTTACTATTTACCCGAAACCTGCAAGCCCGCACGTTTAGGATCCATTTGCTAGGCTGGATGGGATTGAGCTTCAGGAGTAGGATTGGATTGGCATTGGATGAGTTACATAACCTATCATATTTTCTCTTATTTCGGATTTGTAGCCAATCCAGTCCGTGATGCATTTATCTCACCAAACATTTACTGGGTTACAAATCCAATTTAATTGAAAATAACCTATCTCATCCTATCCACCAAACGAATCCTTAGCCTTTCAACTTCCCGAGTACAATTCAATGTACTAGCAACTTTTCAGCTTTTCCAGATCTTTAGAATTACATGCCGTGGCCACAAGACTTCTATAAATCATTGAAATCGGAACCATTAATTCTTTTTATCATCATTTAAAGATTATTTTTATAAAAATAAAAATGGTTAAACCATTCATATGTATCAAACAAATATTCAGTTCATCGTGAAAACGTTACTTTATATCAAAACATTGGTTTGACACGCATGAATAACTAAAACAATCTCAAAATTGAATTATTTTTGTAGAGATGATTTTTTATGATGATGAAGAATTAACAGTTACGTTTAACATGTTTAAATGATAAAAATACGTTAATTTCAAGGAGGAACAATTTTTTTTCCCCCTTCAGTAGCCTTCAGTAGTACATGCCATTTTTATCCTCCTACTTTTTGGTGGAGTTCTATTTTCTTTTTCTTTTTGCTTATACAATTTAGCATTTTTCTCCTACTAACAAAAAAAAAAAAATTAATTAAAAAGTTTAAAAACTTCAAATTTTAACTATAAGGATAAAAAGTAAAATAAATAATATTAAATTTGATTTTTTAATATAAAAATGTAATTTTTCGTTTACTTAAACAGTACTTTTAGTTAACTCTAAAACCAAACAGGTCATCGCAGACACACAGCCAAATCGTTGGCCAAACCTGAAACAAAAGATGGCGATGGCGAGCCTTCAGAGACTCCGTCACTCTCAAATGCTCCACCGCCTCCCTTCCATCTCCTTAATCTCCAGATCCTCCGCCTCTTCCGCCTCCACATCCTCCCCCACTCACTCCGCCAAAGTCTCCGACCGAATCGTCAAGCTCTTCGCGATCGACGTCGACGGCCGCAAGCGCGAGGTGGTGGGCCTATCGGGCCACACTCTCCTCAAGGCCCTGGCCCAGAGGGGCCTGATCGACCCGGCCTCCCACCGGCTCGAGGACATCGACGCCTGCTCCGCCGAGTGCGAAGTCAACATTGCTCAGGAATGGTTCGACAAGCTCCCGCCGCGGTCCTACGACGAGGAGTACGTGCTGAAGAGGAACTCTAGGGCTAGGGTTCTCAACAAGCATTCCAGGCTGGGATGCCAGGTCGTCCTCACTCCAGAGCTTCAAGGTATGGTGGTTGCTGTCCCTGAGGCCAAACCCTGGGACATTCCATAAGCTTAGGGTAGTGAAATTCTTGGGATTTTACCTCTGTTTTTGGATACAATAATGCGATTTTCTGGCTCTGAGGGAATTATGTGGAACCAGTTTTTAATGTTGTGGGTCGAATGCTTTGGATTTCTGTGTATGAATTGAGAAAATTGCTGTTCAATTTCATGATTTGAATATGTTGGAATGTTGAATTGTTTGTTTTGGGTGTTGATTTAGTTGGTGAAAATCGATGAAATGTGGGAGAAATGTTGAAAAAGTGTTGAGCCATATATTTCGGGTTTTCTAGAATGGGGTCAGAAATCCTTGTTCGTTGTTCCATTTAGTAATATAAGGTTGGTGTTTCGGACGTAGGAGGCTAGGAGCAGATTGAGTAAATGACGGACATATTTTTGACCTGGATGGAGTGATTTCAGTTTGTAGGCTTAGGTCCAGGAAGTAAATGTAGAGTTCGACTTGAATGGAGGTTGAATGTGAATCTTTAGTTTGTAGTAGTCATCTCGTTGTAGTTTACATGAGCGAAGAGTGGAAACTGTTTGGTTTATATTAATTGATTGCTGCATAACAAACTGCAAATTGTGGAGTTCTATGGAATGTTGCATAAAAGGTAATATAATGCAAGAAGTGGACGAAGGAGGTAGGGAGTTTAGATTTTCACCTGATAATAGTTTCAGTAACAATGATGAAGAACTTGAAACGCTTGATGATAGGCGAGTGTTAATGTTCATGGCTGGGTTTGTTTTGTGATTGGCTATAGTTGCTTGAGCTGGCAATAGTACTGAATCACAATCGCTTATGTGAAGTTGAGATTAGTGTAGCTGTGCAAGAAACTAAGCAACAGATTGGTTTATGTTCAAAACGTGCTTTTATGAACTTTTCTGTTCTGCACACTGCTCGGTGCAGTTTTATTCCATTACATGTGTTTGATTTGGTGACTTTGGTCACCCATAGTTTTGCACTTGAGATGTTTTGTTCTTTTTTGATTATTTTCTAGCACCTTAGTGGAGCTTACTTGAGATATTATACGCGCATTATTCTTTGGGTACTGGGTAGTGGAGATATCGAAACATGTCTCCAAACTCTTTCTTTCCAGCATGCTGGAAGAATAAGGGATAGGTATTGTGCGGGATAGGGAAGCACATATATCCCGTATTTGGGATTCTGTTTGAAGATGAACATAGTTTTACATGCAAAAAGGAAAATGAAATAGCTAATGGGGTCTAAGGATGAATTGTTCTGTCTATGACCCTCCCTATGGACGCACAATTTTCTTTGGATTACCCGGGATGCTTTTCTCAGGAAATCCTTTTTTGATGGCTACAATGTGGTTTAGAATAGCCGAATTATTTTCTCTTTTGATGTCCACATTGTTGGATGGCTGTTTGTCGTTGCTTCTAGGAGAGAATTTATCCGGATCATGAGAAGTGCCATTGTCTCTCAGACTCTCTCAGTCTCTTCCTCTTATTTTCGTATAATTGAATGGTGAAATTATAGTGGTTGGAGAATTTTCATGTGGTCCAATATCCTCGTGAATAGAGTGTTGAGTTTCTACTTATACATCTCGTATTAGTGGTTGGAGGATGTGATTGTGCATTGCTCTCACACCATCTCCAGAATCCTAAAACCTAACAAAAGAGGGGCAGAAGATGTATAGTTGTAGTAGTGACTACCGAAGCTCCCGTTTTGCCTTGTGTAATGTTTTGCTTCCTGGTTTGCATGGTCTAGCAGCGCCTTCTAGAATCTAAATTAGGCTTTTAACCCGGAGTGAGGGGAGAAATGGACATAACTAAATCACCAAATTACTTCAAAAAATGGCTCACGGGCTTTGCATGTACCTATTTACCAAAACATTGAACTAAGCTACTAATTGACGTGATATTCTCTCTTTTTTATTGCCATGTTGATTTTTCAAAGTATAAGGAGGCTCAAACTAAACTTGAAAATCAATGTGGCAATTTGGACGACCACAAACGATAGTTCAAAGGGGTAACTAAATTTTTCCCTCAACCTATTTGTTTCAAATCGTTATCATGGGTCTTGTTGTACTGAGAAGTACTTTCATTCCGTTGATGTTGCTGCATCTCAAGTTAATCAGTTATGTTAAAAAGTTATAACGCCTTAGAAGAGCATATGTAAAAGAGATGTCAAATTTTAACTTAAAATTAAAATTTGACTGTCTATGTGACACTTTGACATCTTTTAACGTTTTGTTCTTCACCTGATATGTCAAATTCAAATATTATAATATATTTTAATAAAATCAATAATAAAGTAAATAAAATGCATTTAATAATTAATTAAAAAGAGTTTTGAAGCGTTAATTTTGTTAGTAATGGTGAAGGGTGCTAATCCATATCATGCCACATCATATTTTGTTTTTCGGTTGAAAAACATTGTTGTTGCCATTTATAACGGTTAGTACTAATTTGAATATTTTTTTAAATTTTTTTTTTTAATAAGTGATTAATTTGTGATACTGTCACAAAACCATCGTGGCTGCAAGTAACGTTCGTGAGTGTTGATACAATGCCCAAACTCGAGCCAATGGGCCAAACAATCCTTAGTCTGAAGTCTATAGGGCTGAGCCCACTCTAGCAAAAGAAAACCCTAGTTCCTGCTAATTTTCTGTATAAATACTACGATATCAGAGAGATTAGCAGTATCGTCGTGTGCAGGATTCCTTTTCTTCTTCCGCTTCCGCGGCAGCTTCCGTCCGATTCTAATTCCTTTTCTTTCCTCCATCAATCTTCGCCGTCGCTTCTTCGATTGTTTTGATTCGATTTAAAATCTCTGTATTTATTTTATCAAATTTTGCTTTGAATTTTTTGAAAGGGTAAGCAAGTTCAGCTTCTTGACTGGGTGTCGAATCAACGATTCAGCCAAATGAATTACAAACCTTGCGAAATCCAAATCGGCAGTAGCACTCGCCTGAATCTGACTTCCTCCTGATTCTTCAGGCCCTTTTACTACTGTTACACGTACATCTTCATTTCCATTTTTTTCCCCCAATTTAATTTATAAAGTTTGATAAATAATTAAGCAAACGCACTCTGTCCCTAAACAGTCGATGTTTTGAGGCAATTTCTTCGTTTGCAATATTAATCCAGCTCTAGTTTTTCTAGATTATCCAACTACTCGCCCATTATCCCTTTTACTTTTATTGGTTTTGTGGGCACATGGTTGGATTACACTTTTTTTATATTTTCTTAAATTTAATTTGATATTTTCTGTGAATTGAATTTGATTTATGAAGAAAATGATGAAAGAGATGTGAAAGGGTGATGATCCTTCGATTTAACGTGATCAGAATAATATCTCTTCGCTACGTTCTTTCTGATTCTAAAACAAATAAATAAGGGCTACTATATGGAATTAAAACAAACAAATTCTAACACATTCTTTGCGCAAAAAAATGGTGGGACTAAAATGATCTTTAGACTTCGGAGATTGGACTGAAAATAAAGTCTCACTAGAAGTTTCTCATTAAGGCTCAAAAAATAAAATGGAGTTGAACATAATTGGACTCTTAATCTTAGGTTTTATGTTATATAAACAATAGCTAATTGGGGATGGAAGATTTGAATAACAAATAATCTTTAGACACCTTCCCCTTGGTTGGTTATGTTGATTACTTTTTATTTTCAATTCAGATAGAGTCAGATAATCTCCAATCGAAGGGTTCAGAGAGTCAGATGGTTGAAAATAACCTGAAAATCATCTCCAACCAAACGTCAGCCCAAAGGGCTTTTGGGCCCCATTGGACAAAAAAGGGCAAACCGACCGACCCCAGGCTGAGCCACATGCTGACTTCATATTTGATTTTTCTTTTTTTTTTTTTTTTTTTTACAAAATTTAAAAATTCTATTTTTTTTTTCTATAACTTTCTAAGTCATTAAACAACATTAAATAACATTAAGTAACATTAAACAACATTAAATAACATTAAGTAACATTAAACAACATAATAAAAAATTAACAATATGAAACTTAAACAACATTTTTAAAAACATTTAACAACATGAAAATTATTGACAAATCATAACATAAAATTATTGAGGTAATTTAATTTAAATAACCATAGTAGTTCAATTAAAATAATAAATTATGTTTGGCTCTATGTGAAGTTCTGCTCACGTGAGTTCCCAAAAATAAAACCGTGAGGGTGTGGTAGCCCAAAGCGGACGGTGGTGTCGAACCCAGGTTGTGGTGGGGGCCCAGGGCAAGATGTGACACTATGACCCTTTGGCTCTCAATTGGAGAAAGTTTTTTTTTTTTTTTTTTCATAGGGCTATGTTTGGTCTATGGCCCTTTGGCCTTTCGATTGGAGATGGTAAGAAATATAATCATGCACTGTTCATTAAAATATTAATTTCTTGGAGGACCAGAGGACTAAAACGAGCCTTCTGACCAGTTTTCGGTTGGAAATGACCTAACCTTCTATTTAATTAATTCAAATGAAATAAACATGACCGTTCTTTGGAGAAGTAACCTTTTATTTAAATAATTCAAATGAATTAAATTTGCCCGTTCTTTGGAGAAAAAAAGGTGTTTAGAAATCACTTTAGATTTGAATTTGGATGCAACGGGACAACCACTTTACTTTAAAAGCTCGTTTGAAATTGCTTTTAAAATTGTTGAAAACGAAAATATATGGAATAAATTTTTAGTAAAAATAAAAATGAATCTTGAAAAAAATACTTGAAGTGCTCTCTACATGAATCACATAACAGGTGCTAGTGCTTCTTGCACGAATCACTTAAGAGTTTTTGAAATCCAAAAATATATATTTTTTAAATAATTTCGGTTATTTTAAAAGTACTTCTAAAGGACTTCAAACCTCATTTTTTTATCACTACAAAACTAGCTTAACTCACGTACTTGTTACTAAGTATGATAATTGAATAATAGTTAAATTTCACCATAAAAAACCAAGCTAGCTTTAATACATTACCCACAACTCCATTCTATAATTTGGGCATGCGGAAACTTACGATTTGCACAAAACTTGTGTTCCAACAAAAATGCAACCTTTGAACCACAAAAAAATAAAAAAAATAAAAAATAAAAAATAAAAAAATTTAATGAAAATTGCTTGAAAACTTTCAACTTTGAGTTTTAACGAAAATGACAAAAAGTTGTTGTAAACGAATAGTACCAGGATTGACTTTTTAGAGTAAAAATACGGTTTTCATTAAAATGAAGATCATCAGAAGTTTTCGTTAAAGTTCAGAAAACAAAAAAAAAAAAAAAAAAAAAAAAAAAAAACCCCTAAAATCAAGTCCTAATTCGAGAAAATACGGCGCCACAATTATAAACGCAGCGCCGCAAAAACGGCGGGTTTCATTCCAAACGACTTCAAACCAATACCCGCGTTTTTCAACGGATATCGTTAAAAACCAAAATTTTAATCCAATCAATCATCAACGTATAAACGTTTGACCCTCATCGATTTTTCACCTCCTTTTTCCTTGTAACAACTCCGAACAAACCCACCACAAATTCTCAGTTCGGTATTAACCAATTTTCGCAACCATTTTTTCCTCAGGGTTTTTTCCCATATTTTCTACCCTCCATTTCTCACTTCTTCCAAAAATTGATTCTTTCTTATCATTTGGATTTTTTTTTGCTGGTTCCTCAATATCCCGATCGAATTTTGAATCGTACTATTTGGTGGTGAATCAATTTTTTTAGCAATTTTAATGGACAGGGCGGAGGTACGGCGGGTTTTCCAGATGTTTGATCAGAACGGGGACGGGCGGATCACGAAGATGGAGCTGAGGGACTCGTTGGAGAAGCTGGGGATTTACATTCCGGACAAGGACTTGATCCAGATGATTGAAAAAATCGATGTCAATGGAGATGGGTTCGTGGACCTTGATGAATTCGGTGCGTTGTACCAGACGATCATGGGCGAGAGGGACGAGGAGGAGGACATGAGGGAGGCGTTCAATGTGTTTGATCGGAACGGGGACGGGTTCATCACGGTGGACGAGCTGCAGTCGGTTTTGTCTTCCTTGGGGCTCAAGCAAGGGAGGACACTGGAGGATTGCAAGATCATGATAAAGAAAGTTGATGGTGATGGTGATGGGAGGGTGAATTTCAAGGAGTTTAAGCAGATGATGAAAGGTGGTGGGTTTGCTGCTTTAAGCTCAAATTAACTAACAGAAGGATCTTTTCCATGGTAGTGATTTTCGAATTTTCGTTTTCTCCTTCTGCACTCCTTCCATACCCATTATTTGCGTACCTTGCTTCGCCTTCGAGTTTATTTGATCTAAGGGCAAGAAAAACAAGGGGTGCAGAAGGGGGAAAAGGGAGTACAAAAGTACGAAAATCATCACCTTTTTTTTTTTTTTTTTTTTTTTTCAATAGAGGAGGAGATACAAAAGAAGAGCAGCCTTATTGTTTAGATGTTTAGAGGCCTCTCTCTCTTGTATAATTTCATTTTTATTTCAAAAGAATGCAAACTCTTTCATTTCTTTGATTGGTATCTTTTCAATATCTTTGAAATCTTTGAACATTGATTGTAATAACTTTTTACTTCCTGCTATCCAATGAATTGAGCCAAAGTATGAGAGCGATCTAAGGTGGACATCTCTTTCATCTTTTGATGGAACCAATTTTTCAACCTTCTCGTCCAAGTATATAGCAACTCTTCGAACTTTACCAATTACTTTGTTTCTAGCGGTAAAATTGGCGATTTGGAGGAAATGCTCCTCTTCTGCCTTCAACAAGCACATGTCTCGCATAAGATCATGGCAGGTTTTTATCTTCCTAACCAAACCCCGTTCCCCAACTTCAGCCACACCTTTCGACCAACTCAGTTAATACCTTCCATGGTTAATTTCGACTGAACTTTGTCTATGTTGGGCCAAAGAAATAAAACCTTCTGGTGTCCATAGGTTAGCCAACTTATTCACTGGAATCTCATTATCCTTAGGAAACTGACCTAAATAAAAAAAAACATGGCTTTAAATGATATGGTAAGTCGTCATAACTCAATGCTAACAGCCATGTTGTGCCTGCGTACGCTTGTTCTTGGCCTTTGCTTCTCCTTATGTTTGCATAAACATTCTTATGCGCCGCATCCCACTCGTCACCTGTTCCTGTAAGAAGAATATTGATGGCTAATGGCAAACCTGCACACCGTTGAAGAGCTTATTGAAAATTCCGAGTCTGAAAGAAAAACACCAAATTAACAGCACTTCACAGTATAAAGGCTGCTGTTCAAACCATTTTGAAAGTACTTATAACTAAGAGAGAAGAGTAATGCTATTTAGACATTCAAAGTTGACACAGTCGAAAACATTCATTTCAACGCCTAAAAGTAAAACGTAAGTTTTTCTTTCCACCCATTTTTTTTGTTGATGTGACGACATTCATATCCTAACAAGAAAAAACTAAATGCGATCAATTCTGTTATAGTTTTGTTAATCGTTAGTCAATATTCAAACAAGAAAAGTAAAGATAAAAGAGTCATTGAGAAAATACCAATATCACTATCCCTTCTAAGAAGTGCTATCTTTTCGAACAATTTCCGGCTCTCATTCTCATTTATAGTGGGAGGGGTTGGTAGAGGAAACCACTTGGACCAGCATGCGATGCTACTGCTTCTCTACGTGTGGTGAGTAATATTCTGCTCCTTGTTTCCTCCTATGGAAATGCAGCTTTCAAGGAGTCCCATGCCTCAATACTCCAAATATCATCAAGAACCGCCAAACATCTTTTATCTTTCTGGAGAAGACAAAGTTTCTTGGCTATTTCTGCATCACTCATTTGAGCGATTTCTTTTCTCTGCTCACATGTAGCAGAAATGAGTTCCGTTAAAATTTCTTGCCAAACATTTCTCACTTGAAACTGTTTAGATATACACACCCCAAGCAAAAGAGCTAAAACTGCGTCTTACTTCATTATGATGGTAAATCTGTTTTGCAAGAGTGGACTTGCCCAAGCCACCCATCCCACATATAGAAACAACTCGGAGGCGGTGATGTTTATCTCTTACCAAATGCATAACCAACTCCCTTAACACTCTTCTCTAACCTGACAACATCACATTCTCTAACATGAGAACAGGTTCGCCTTAGTTGTTGCTTCCTCACATTAACGTGTAACTGCGGCTCTCCCTTATGTTGTGAGCCTGCAAACTACTCAACCTCAAATTAGAGATTTTGGTTGTAATGTTCCCACTTTCTGACCCTATCTCATGAAGATTGACTCCTTCGATCAAGATGGAACGGAACCTTTTCACAAAACTCTTAACACCTCCTCCTTTCCTCTTGGAACTTGGAAGTCACCTTCAAGGCAAAGTTTTCACTGACATCCTCCAAATCATAAGCATCATCTCTAATTTCAGCAACCAAAACACGTATTACTTCTTCATCTCTTTGGCTTGCATCTGCATCCTTCAACAAGCCCTGCATCATTTTTAGCTCGGTTTGTGCAAGCTTAATCGCCAACTCCGCACACAAACTTGACTCCTTAATTATGAAGTCACCAAGCTTTTCGGCCACAAAGGAAACAACAGCCTCAGCCATATTCTCTCCACCAAAGAAAATTGAACCACTAAACCAGACTTAATTTGTTTGTATATCAATTCAGATTGATGATAAGATCGATTGATCTTAAGCAATTTGCATATAAGACCTTAGAATTTGCAACTAACCTCCTTAGCTCAATTTTTATTCATATAATCAAAGACTAAAGAGCAAATATATAAACTGTTTCATTTGATCTCGATGTGGATTGCATGGATCACATGGAGATAAAGTCCAATGTATCTCACATCTAGCTGGTTGAAATCACACTCATGCTAGCTTTTTCTATATTTTATCTAGCTTTCACCGTTTGCTCTTAAAACATCCAACCAAAATGAGATCATGAGAGACGACTTCAAGTTCATGAGCCAAACAAGATTCTCAAGTCTTCATAAAAATATTTTACCCTAAATTACTAACTTTATGCCATTTATTTTTTGGACAAACGGTAGGTACTTTATACTAAATTCATCTAAATTAAAGGGAGGTGGAGGGTTTGAACTCAAGACACAATGATTTGAACCCTATCCATCACTTGCACTGAACTTTATACCACAGAGTTAAATACTTTGCTTTCTCGAGCCCTCTAAACCTAACATTATCTTCTTGTCACATTTTGTTTTTCAATAATTCTAGTTAGGAGTTTTTTCTAGTATGCACATATGTTCATTGAATGCATGTCATACTCTAGTGTGTACTCCAATAACATTTTCACATATTTAGAGAAATAAAATTTCCTTAGGGAGAGACATCTCTCTCCCTCCCTCCCTCTCTCTCTTTATTTGAGAGTATATATATGTGCACATTGATTGTACACATTCCGGGTTTGTCTTAAATCTTCGATACGAAAGTAGGTCATGAAAGGTTTTTGTTACTCGATTATTTGAGACATTTTAGGTCGAATCTATTACGAAGTTGACATTGAACATGTGTTTTGGAAAGCAAATATGTTGCGGTTGAGGTTGTGGCTGATATTCTTGCATATTTAGGACATTCTCTATGTTCTCCTAGATTGTTTCATGACCATTTTCTTGCTCAATCTTTCATCAATTTTGATCTCTAGGAGTTGGGGCATATATGAGAGATGATGTAGATGTTTTTGGTAGCTCTTCTTTAGCCAAGAAAATGAGTAAAATTTGGAAGTCCAATAGGATTAAAGTGAATTATTTCATGTCTCATGACATTACCATAGTCATGTGTGCCTATGGCATTGGTTGCTTATTGATGGAAATGGTATGATAAAGTTAACTTATGTTATGCTACAATTCACTTCAAACAATTAAATTTAAGTTGAACGCTTGTCTGTGATGTGTTGTCGTATAAAGCAGTCCAAACTAAGATTTCCATGATGGAGGAAAAGAATGCAACTTTGGTATTATTTTTTTCCCTCAAGACAATAGGTAAATAAAAGTAACTATTACAAATGTGGAGAGGGATATAATAAACAAACACCCGTTTAGCTTCTTACTCCGCTGTTTAATTCTGATTATTATTTTCACTTGATTTATGTAATTTATAAATAAATAAAAAAATTAAGTAAAAGGTTAAAATGAATATGTGCAAAAAAATCACTTTCCATTGAAAATAAATAACCCTGCTGGTAAAATCACAACTTACAGAACAACCACCCCAGCATAAATACGACGGCGTTTTGGTGCATACGCTGCTGGTTCTCGTCGTCCCAATTGGGGTTAATGGCAACACGCCAGAAAACACTTTGGAAGAAATTCAGTTGAACTCTACCACGACCGAGCTCCCAAACGTTGGATTTTGAGACTTTGGAATTCCAGATGGCCTAACTCGCCTTCTTTCGGATCCTCCAAACAGAGGATTGCTATTTCCTACCGCAGCTCAGCCCCAATGCAGAAACTGGCACGGCCGAGCGTTTTCCGGTCACTGCGCCTTCTCAAATCCCACAACCACCCCAAAATATACCGACCCAGGTACCCTCTTTCTCCAAATCTTAAAAAGTAGTGAATTTTCTGTGATAATTGCATTGAAATGTATAGCATTTCATGTTTGGACCTCAAAATGCAGTAGCTTGGGTGATGTTGTATACAAGGTGTTCGATGAAAAGCCTGTGTGGGACGTGGTGGGCATTGCAAGGTTTCCGTCGGAGTGCCAAAAAGGGGTTCATTCGTCTCCGTGTGTTAACACAGAGCACAAGGCTGTAGAGCCGTTGGAAAATTCAAAAGACGGCGCGGGTGCTGAGGCCACTGGTGATGGTAAAGTGAAGAGGAAAAAGCTCAAGGGCAAAAGGGCCGTGATTAGGTGGCTCAAGTTCTTCAGGTATAAGAAGAAGAAAGACTATGAGAGAATGACTGCTGAGGAGAAAATTCTCCACAAGTTAAGAAAGGTAAAATAATCTGTACGTTAAGAGTTGTATTGGGTTTTGATTTTGTACAAGTTATCTGACAATTTTGGAGTTTTCAGCATATCTCTCAACTGATGTTTGCATGAAAAAAGGTAGCACGATTCTGCGAAATGTTTAGAGACTGATGAAAATATGTGATTTCTGTTTTTGCAGGCTCAAAGGAAAGAGGAAAGGCTTGTTGAAGCTCTCAAAAAGATTGAGCCCTCGGAGCCATCGGAGACTAACCATGATCCAGAAATATTGACACCGGAGGAACACTTCTACTTTCTGAAGATGGGTCTCAAGTGCAAGAACTATGTGCCCGTTGGTAGACGGGGGATATACCAGGGTGTGATTCTGAACATGCACTTGCATTGGAAGAAACATCAAACTCTGCAGGTGGTGGTGAAAACATTCTCACCTGAAGAGGTTAAGGAGATTGCTTCTGAGCTGGCTAGATTAACTGGAGGGATTGTGCTCGGCATTCATGAAGAATACACAATAATTATGTATAGAGGGAAGAACTATTCTCAGCCTCCAACAGAAATCATGTCACCCAGGGTCACTCTCTCCAGGAAGAAGGTTCGCTTATAGTCTATTTTTTCTAAACTTAGATCTTTCGGAGAATTTAGACTTTTAACTGTCTCCACTAGAACACTGCATTTCAAGCGCAAGCCGAGTGCTTTTTAACTGCATATTTGAAATTAATTTTGATACTGTAAGCGCCTCATTGCTCTTTTCTGATAAACATTTTAAATCAATTCCTGATAACATGACAATCAAGTCCTTTGCTTGCTTCCTCATGACCGGAAAACTAACAAGTTTTCCTTATATAATGTTCGTTTAAAAGATCCATCAGTAAATAAAACACAAATATACAATGACATGCAGGTATATGTTCGACAACACGGTTAGACTTTTGACAGGTGTTGAAATTAAAACTAGGTTCCCTGATCATATTACTGAAGCACTGTCTGTCATTATTTGTTTTCATGTTTTCCCTTATGTTCTCTGCTCCTCCATACAGGCTTTGGATAAATCGAAGTATAAGGATGGTCTTCGAGCCGTAAGGAAATATATTCCAAAACTCGAACAAGATCTTGAGTTGCTTCGAGCACAGGCCAAAAGGAAAGTAGACATCAATACAGATTACATTGAAGAAACGCAAGAAACTGGTACTGAATCTACTGATAGTGTACACTCTGGGAGCTCCTCAAAGTTGAAGCTGGAGGCTTCAAATAAGGTAAAAGAAATGATGGATAGGAGCAAGGAACGCTCTGAGGATGACCCTTCAACAGATGCGGATATAGCTTCAGACTCTGAAGATTTATCTGATATTTTTGATACCGACTCTGAGAAGGAGACCGAGAAGAAGGCAGAGCGACCTCTGTATTTGGAAGAGTTTGAAAAGTTTCCAGTTGAAAGTGATGGCGAACCTGAAGATTTTGAGGATCACCTGCGTCAAATATCTAGGGACGCAAAGAAGGATAAATCCTTGGACGAAGATGCTGGCTTGCCAAATTTTGATGAAGTTGATCGAGTATTTCTGCGTGCTGCTTCACTTTTAAAGAAAAAAAGAAGATGAGACACTTGTAAATTGCTTATGATCACAATTCGATGGTTAGATTCTTGCACTTTTTTTAGTCTCCTGTTAATTAGATACTTGTTATTTCTAGTTAAAGGTAATATTTGGTTTCAAGGCCTATTCCTCCCAAAATTGAGCAAGAATTACTCTCATAAATAAGGTTAAAAGGTTCTCAGTCCTCAACTTCTCTTATGTTTCTTACTATATCTTGAACTATATTTACATCGTGTCTCTCGTTGCTATGTTCGATTGTAAGACTCATCTCCAATGATAAGGAGGTGCTAAACCCTACACGACCCATTCCTTCTGCCTAATTCATACTCCCACAAACCCCTTTCTTTCACCTAAGCAAGCATCCAGCAGCCTCTTCCAACACACACATACCCCTTCATTTTCCCTAACCAGACACACGCCAACCCACTCCTACACACTCTTTCCTTTCTTTCCTGAATTCATATAGATACCTGCCTCTTCCTTTCACCAACCCCTTTCCTTTCCTCTGTAAGTCACTGTAAGGAAAGAGTAGGTTTGTGTTGGAAAAAGGTTGTTGCTATGTGAAAGGAATCGGTAAGCGCGCGTCGGAAGGGTTTTTTAAATCAAATGGCATGCCAGTAATCTTGCTTTACGTTTTTCATTGTACAACAGACTTACACAAGCTCTCCACATCCATCACAACTCTGCAACTCCAAGCAGCAAGGCCACTGAACTTGGCAACTTGCTCCATTTTCTAGTTTCTTTTTAAGAAACTACAAAATCGATACCACTTTCTGTAACGCCGCAATTTTGAAACTTGAAGTAGCAACGCAACAGTGTCACGCTCTGCAGAAAACATGTGGTTACTATAATACCATGTCGACGTTGTAACTTTACATTTCCGATGGAACGTAAAGCGTTTTAGTAAAAATTAATTTGCACAGTAAAAACAAAGTATGATTCAGTAGCAAAGTATTCCGAAAGTAATCAAATTCAAAACTTCGTTTTTTAATCCAAATATGAACACCACAAAAGGTAAAAAACTGCCAAGCCTTGCTAAAAACAAGTGGTCCAACTAAACGACTACTTGTACGGTGAAATGACGTCGTATGGAGGTAATACGACGTTGGGACAATAAACAAGAAGGAAATTAGCCAGGGGATTATGGGAGTAGAGAGCGAATCGGAAGCTGTCAACTTTTTGTTGGAAGTTTGGAACCCGTTTATGGACGAGTGCTGAAAAATGGAGCATAGATTCGATACAAGACCAAGACCTTGGCTTGATTTGATTGGCAACGACTCCAAATCCAGTAAGTTTTCTGCTACCCTTCTCTTCCATTGAGTAATTTTGTGTTTGGTTGCTCGGGAAAATTTGAATGAGATTTTGAGCTTGTTGTATACAATCTATCATGGGTTTTACCCTTTAATTTGGATTTCATTATTTTTTGGGTTTGGAGTGTACGGAAACTTGTACCCAGAAAAGAGAAGTAAATGAAAAGATCTTGAAAATTTAAAGATATGAACTTTTCTAATTGATTTATGGTAAAAACGGGGATTAAGGAAGAATGAATTTGGCTTCCATATCTGTAATTCCAGTGTTTAATTACTCAAAATATTGTTTTTTACTTCAAGGATATAGTTGTAACTGTGTGATTCATGAGGAAGAAACTTTGGTGTTCAACAAAAGCATATAAAATCTTCAAGGCTTCAAGGTAGGAGGAAACTCAGCAGAATGTGATGTGGGAGAGGGAGGGAGAGAGAGAGAGAGAGAGTAATTATGTTTCTCGAATGTAATAGAATGTGATGTGTGGTTGTGAAATTGGATTGGACAGCTGGAGCACCTGAAACTTCAGCCGAAAGGGACTTGAATGCAGTTGTAGTTTTGGTATGGAATTTGAGTCTGAAGATGCTGCCGAGGAGTTTTACAAAGATTGTTCAAGGCGTGTTGGGTTAATCATGCGTATAGATCAGTGTCGTCGATCAGATGTTGACAAGAGAGTTCTTTCCCGGTAGGCTATCCTGCAATAAGCATGGAGGGCGTTCTGTAAAAGCTAGAGACCAAGTCCTGTCAGTTCGAAGACCACGACCTACTGATAAACCAAATATTCAAGATATCTCTCCAAGTCCGAAATGCATGGTAAACGTATCTCCAAGTCAGCCACACAAGTTGGATACTCTTCAACCTCTTCAACAGATAGCAAGGAATCACACTCCTTCCTTATCTAAAACTCATGTGTAACTTAGTTTTGATTTTCAAATGTAATCAGATGATATGTAACCAACCTCATCTTGTAATCTCTATATAATGAAGTCCATACCTCACTCATAATTAAATTGAGTTGAGTTTATGCAATCTATGTTTACAACCCTAGCTTAAATTCTTTCATGGTATCTCTGAGCTAAAAGTCTAACGACAGATTTTTTTTTTTTCTCTCCTCACATGGCTTCTTATTCTTCCTCTCCCATTCCCCTCCCAAATGTCTCCAACTTTCTCACGATCAAACTTGATCGTACCAACTACCCCCTCTGGCACGCCCAAATGCTACCTCTCCTCCGTAGTCGTAATCTTGTTTCCTTTGTTGAAGGAACCAGTAAGTGTCCTCCCGCTTTCCTGCAAGATGATAATGGCAACATCACTGACAAAGTCAATCCCGACTTCGACACTTGGATGCAACAGGATGCCACTGTTCTGTCCTGGATCAACTCTTCTGTTCACCCTACTGTACTTGCTGCTTTAATTGGGAAAACTAGCTCCCATTCTGCATGGACAACCCTACGTGATCGATATGCTTCTCAGTCAACCGGTCGCCTTCTCCAACTCCGCAGTGAGTTAATGAATACCCACAGAGGTGATTCTTCCATCTCTGAATTCTTGGATAAAGTTAATTGTCTCGCAGATACTCTCTCTCTCTCTGGTGCTCCTGTTTCAGACTCCGATGTTGTTGCCATTATTCTCAACAACGTAGGCCCTGCCTATGAAAGCACCGTTGTCTCCGCCCAAGCTCGTGATGAGGCCATTACCTACAGTGCTTTGGAAGCACTTCTCCTTGGCGCTGAAAGACGACAGAAAATGCATTCTGCATTTGGTACTGACAACGGCCTCACTGCCCTTGTAGCAGGCCGCAATGGCAACCGTGCACCTACATCTTTTCGGGGACGAGGATCCTCTCCTGGGTTTCGCGGTCGTAGTCATTTTCCTAGTGGTCGTGGCTCTTCAAATCGCCACTGCAACTCTCCTCACTTTCACCAAGGGTCTCACTCTAATCAAGGATCCCACTCTCAACATGGGTCCAACCCTCACCCAGGCTCCCACTCTCGCCAAAATGATGGGATTCTCGGCACCGCTCCTTCTCAAAGTCCTTTCACTAATGGACGCATTCAATGTCAAATATGCAGTCGTCATGGCCATTCTGCGATCGACTGCTTCAACCGCCTAAACATGTCTTATGAGGGCCGCGTTCCTGCCCCTCGCTTGCAAGCGTTTGCTGCTACGGTACCTTCTGCCTCTGCCACAGCACCTGCCATCCAGGAGTGGTTGTTTGACTCAGGGGCTAATGCTCACATCACAAATAATTCTGCCAGTCTTTCGAATCCTCATCCTTATAATGGCATGGACCAAGTCAATGGAGTTGTTGGTGGAACAGGTTTGCCAATTTCACACATAGGGACCACTTGCATTCGTACACCTCACTCCACTTTTAGCTTACCTAATACACTACTTTGCCCAAATGCATCCACCAATATTATATCCATCCATCGCTTTACCAAAGAAAATAATTGCTCTCTAACCCTATATCCTAATTCGTATTCTGTTCAGGATCTTCACACGGGGAGGATACTTTTACAAGGCCCGAGTAGAAATGGATTCTACCCCTTCTCTGGTGTTTCATCAACAAATAAAGGCGTGTCTGCATTTTTAGGTACTAGAGTGTCCAATTCAATTTGGCACTCTAGGTTAGGTCACCCATCTTCTCATGTTTTGCAAAGTTTGGTTTCTAGGAATAAATTGCCCATTAAAGGCGTTGTCACTCGTGAGTTCTGTCACTCATGTCCCATGGGTAAGAGTCACAAGTTACCTTTTCAATTGTCAACTTCTAGGTCTTTGTCTCCATTAGAATTGGTTCATTCCGATGTATGGACTTCACCTTCATTTTCTATCAATGGTTTTAAATATTATGTAGTATTCATTGATGATTATTCCCGCTACTCTTGGCTATATCCATTAAAATTAAAATCCGATGTTTTTTCTACTTTTGTGTCATTCAAGAAACTGGTTGAAAACTTGTTTAATACTAAACTCAAAACACTCCAAACCGATGGAGGAGGAGAGTACGTCAACAATACTTTTAAAACTTTTTTATCTCAACATGGAGTTTTCCATCGCTTTACATGTCCACATCATCCCGAACAAAACGGCATTTCTGAACGAAAACATCGTCATATAGTTGAAACTGGCCTCACACTCCTTGCTCATTCATCCTTACCTACTTCATTTTGGGATGATGCTTTTCATACAGCAACTTATTTGATCAATCGTTTACCAACTAGAGTTCTCCATGATGAGTCTCCATTTCAAAAGTTGTTTCACAAATCTCCTAATTATGCTTTTCTTAAAGTTTTTGGGTGTGCATGTTTTCCCTATCTTCGTCCCTATAATACTAATAAGTTACAATTTCGTTCCAAACGTTGCATTTTCTTAGGATATTCATTAAATCAACATGGTTATAGGTGTTTAGATATGTCCACAGGTCGCATATTTTTGTCACGTCATGTCTTATTTGATGAAACCATTTTCCCCTACAAAGAATCCATTTCTACAAAGCCTTCCTCATCCCAGTCATCTACGATACTGCCCATTGATTCCCATCCTTTAATAAATCCCCCTAGGAATCCTAGCTCCACTACTTTCCCACCAAATCCGCATCCCACCTTACTTTCCACCCAACCTAACACTTTTTCTCCTACTTTTCCCCAAAATCCGCACCATCCCGTGCATCATGCCATAACATCTACACAACCTAACCCTACTCCACTTACTTTTCCACTACAACCGGACCCCCCCATCCCTTCCACTCCCTCATCCACTTTCCCACTACATCCGGACCCCCCCATCACTTTCACTCCATCATCAACACCACCACATCTTACCTATTCACCTATATTAAACAATCCTATTCCATCCCCATCACCTTTCTCACCTGTCCACTCTATACCTGCCCTTTCCCCACCTCTATCCTCTACGAATGCAGTAGGTGTTGCTCCTGTCTCATCTTCCTCTCCACGCCACAGTCAACCTGTTCACTCCATGGTCACCCGTTCAAAGGATGGCATTCACAAACCCAATCCCAAATATGCGCTTATTTCTGATGTGACTAATGACCTCGTTGAGCCTACTTGTTTTACACAGGCAAATAAGTACCCTGAATGGCGTATGGCAATGGCAGAAGAGTTCAATGCTCTGCAACAAACAGGAACGTGGTCCCTGGTTCCTTTTCATTCCACAATGAATGTTCTCCCAAATAAATGGGTGTACCGTATTAAACGTAAATCTGACGGCTCCATTGAAAGGTTTAAAGCACGTCTTGTTGCCAATGGTTTTCGTCAACAGGAAGGACTCGATTACAGCGAGACGTTTAGTCCTGTCGTCACTCATGCAACCATCAGACTTATTCTCTCCGTGGCTCTTCATTTTAACTGGCACATACGCCAGCTTGATGTCAAAAACGCATTCCTCCATGGTTCCTTAACTGAGAAAGTATACATGCGCCAACCTTCTGGCTTTGTCGATCCACAGTTTCCAGCACATGTATGTCGTCTTCGACGGTCCTTATACGGCTTAAAACAGGCTCCACGTGCCTGGTTTCAGTGTTTCTCTCAACATTTGGAAGAGCTCGGGTTTCATGCATCAATGGCAGATTCTTCACTGTTCATTTACTTCAATGGAACTACTGTTATTTATTTACTCATATACGTTGATGACATCCTTGTTACAGGTAATAATCAATCTCACATCTCCACATTGATTCAACAATTGGGCAACAAATTTTCAATGAAGGACCTTGGGGCCTTGCATTATTTTTTGGGAATGGAAATTACGAGAACACCGACGGCCATGTATTTAACCCAGTCAAAATATATCCTGGACCTCCTCAAACGAACTAACATGGCTGACGCCAAACCATTGTCTACTCCAGCCATACCTGGCCGCAAGCTTAGTTTGTATGAGGGTGAGCCCTTGGATGATGGTACAAATTTTCGCAGTGTTGTTGGGGCTCTCCAATATCTCTTATTCACACGGCCTGACATTGCTTTCGCTGTAAATCAAGTCTGTCAATATATGCATTCACCCACAACTACACATTGGGCTGCAGTCAAGCGCATTCTTCGCTATTTGAAAGCCACTCATAATCACGGTATCGTTTACAAACCCAGTTCGTTGTCCCTAACAGCCTTTGCAGATGCCGACTATGCTGGTGACCCCGATGATCGTCGCTCCACTGGTGGCCATTGCATTTTTCTAGGGGATAACTTGATCTCTTGGAGTTCTAAAAAACAAAGAGGTGTGTCTCGCTCAAGTACAGAGGCTGAGTATCGCCAAATGGCCTATACCTCTGCCACCTTGTCTTGGTTCCGCCACATATTCCGTGATCTTCATCTCCCTCTAAATCCACCACAATTGTGGTGTGACAATATCAGTGCATTGGCAGTAGCTTCCAATCCAGTCTATCAGGCTCGTATGCGTCATGTGGAAGTTGATTATCATTATGTTCGAGAAAAAGTAATTCGCAAAGAACTAGTTGTGGGATATGTTTCATCTGTTGACCAACTCGCGGATCTCTTAACCAAGGGTTTGTCCACAGCTCGTTTTAGTTATCTCATCTCCAAGCTTCCTGTTTGTCAACGTCCACTCAGCTTGCGGGGGCGTGATAAACCAAATATTCAAGATATCTCTCCAAGTCCGAAATGCATGGTAAACGTATCTCCAAGTCAGCCACACAAGTTGGATACTCTTCAACCTCTTCAACAGATAGCAAGGAATCACACTCCTTCCTTATCTAAAACTCATGTGTAACTTAGTTTTGATTTTCAAATGTAATCAGATGATATGTAACCAACCTCATCTTGTAATCTCTATATAATGAAGTCCATACCTCACTCATAATTAAATTGAGTTGAGTTTATGCAATCTATGTTTACAACCCTAGCTTAAATTCTTTCACCTACAACAAGAGAATGTTGTAAAGCAGTGATGCTAGTTAAACTTGATAAATCTGGAAAATGGGTCGTTACAAGAGTTGTTAAGGACCATGCTCATCCACTTATAGTTTCTTCCGGGAATTCTATGGTAAGTTCATCTAATCTAAATTCAAGAAAAAAGTAACCATTGCTCAAACCTTGATGCAATCCTTGATTAATGGAGTTGCAATTTATGCCTGTTACTCTTCTTATCGAACTTCTAAAGCATGAGGAGAAACATGATTGATTGAACTTTGCTTATTGACTGTTTTGTTGAAACCAGTAATATCGATTTCAAAACCGTGGTTTATGTACTTTTTGATCAGGTCTAAGGCAAGTCTTAGTCTAAGGTGCTTTAGATTCTTCATCCCTGCTATAACTAGCATGGTTCCCATCTAATGTAATTTACTAGCTTATCTACGAATGAAGACTTTCGGGTTTCCATGCAATGGAGTTACACGCGTTTTGTTTTCTAATGTTCCAGAGAATTGGATCATATTAGTCGAGATGGGAGTATTTTTCTTGTCTTTTAAGACGAAGAATCTATTATTTAGGTTGTTTCATTATTAGGAAATATGGTTTGACATGATTGCAGAAGTGCATTACCTGCAACCTCTGAGTCTGATTTTCTTTCAAGTAAACATTCGCAGGACGCTGAGGATATGAAGATTGCGGAACTCACCATGGACCTGGGGTGTGAAGAGCAATTATGTGGACAATACCATGAGCTACTACCTACATTGCTGAATAATGTTGAGGAGGAGACGGAACTGATAGCAACGAAAGTTAGAGGAGTCGTTAACTATGTAAGAGAATTTGAGACTGACGTTGAAGGGCTTCCACAAAATCAAATGGAGGCCATAGTTCGAGGGCTTCCTCCAAATCAAACGGTGACTGAATCGGGCCACAATTAGAGACAGAATTATGGCTCTGTGCATACTGGGTGCATGAGGATTCGACTGATGTTCTCCTGGAGAGTATTCTGACAGACTAACATACGTACGGCAGAAATGTCTTGAACCATAAAAGTTTAGTGAATGGAATGCCCTTCAGGCAAATAGTTGCTTTGGACTCCCATTGTGCTCGGCCGAGGCCTTATTGCTGTCGTTCATAATTTCTTTAATTTTCTTTTTTCGGTCCAGGTGTTTTTGGATCCCTCTTACTGCAGAAACTGGACAACTATGATCATGATACTGATAAAGTCTGATATAAGAATTCCTGGCATTCTATTTTTCGGGGCAGTGTGCAAGACAAGAAGCAAATCAAAGTGGCATGAACATTTCGTTCAATCGAACGAAACAAACAATGAAAGTTTGTAGAAGAATGTTGGATTTTCATTGAACCGTAGAATAAAAGAACTTATCTATTTGTGAAAGAAGAAATTAATTGTAATTAACACTGTACATTCTTGGATGATGGAGCCGAATGGTGAGTAATTCACTGAAAATCCTAGTTTTAATCTCCAATGCTATCTACGAAAGGAATGTTTTTGCATTTCAGATTCAACTTTTCTCACATTTTCGACAATAGCTTGTATCTTTCCAGACAGTTCTTCTGTTTCCGCCTCAACATTGTGCATAAAACTAAGTAGTTTTTCTCGATAAGCTGCACATCGTTGATCCTGATGCTCCAACTCCATTGTAAGTTCCTCAATTTTTCGATCCTTATCGCCCTGCAATCATCAACAAGCAAATTAGTCAACTGCGGAAACTGAACTGAGTCAAAAGTATTGAGACCTATTAAAAATAGTAAACATAAACTCAAAAGATCGCTATCATAGAATTCTAAGGTTGATTCATGAACAAATTCGAAAGTCTTCCAATGGTTACTTATTCCAAACTCACCCTTCCTTATTCTCCTTGAAATTTTTTTCATCGGTGGTTCATTCAACAACTGGTGAGATATCGAGAACCATGCTTTTATGCATGTCATCAAAGAACTTTGCCTACCATTCCCTAAGACCCACCATGATGCTTCATGTAGGGACCATTACAAATCATAGATAGCTCATGAAAGTTATTACTAGAGTAGATCTACCATGCATATCTATCTCTTATTTCTTTACCCTTACACAACATAAGTTTGCAGAGTAAGTTCTAACTTGTGAAAATAAACAAAAGGCAAAGAAATTTAACTATCGTAAATGATTTGGAAAGACGATAGCTAGAGTTTTGAAAGATCACTAAATGATTTACATGGGAGAGAAACAAGGGGGATAACCAAGCAAAAAACAACGACCTCGAAAAACATTTGAAAAGGGAGAATATTAATTATTAAGTTAAAACTATAAGGATGCTCACCTCTGTGCTAAAACCATTGGCAGTAACAACCAGAGGATGATTATGATCCTTTACAAATCTCGTAACAACCCATTTTCCAGATTTTTCCATCTTCACCAAGATTGTTGCCTTGCAACCTTCTCGTGCACTAGGTCTAGGCTTTTTCTCAGGTCCAAATTTTCCCGGCTGGTTAGGAGAAAACCCTTGTTTGTTACACCCAAGCCGACGGGCAAGAGTTCTCCCATCAATTCCTGATCGACGACGCTGCATAACACGGACAACAAATCCAACCTGTCTGGCATAGTCAGTATAGAATTTCCTGGCAGCATCTTCGGAATCAAATTCCATACCCACGTAAGGTTCCGGAACCAGACCTCCTCCCGAAGTACCTACATCCATCTCCACAGTACTCTCTACTTCTACCTCAGCTTCCCTTGCCAAATCTACTGTCATATAACATGTAACAGAATCCATAAACATTTATTTCGGGCAGATTACTTGCGTAATTTGTCATGGGAAAAAAAAAATTTAATATACACTAAATAAATCCACCCACGCATTACTTTTACTAATCAAGCTATCAACATGCAGTTTCAAGCAAACAGCCCTGATCTTTGAACAACATCATGAAGTTTTAACTTTTCTAAAACTTGGGTCATTTATCGCGCCGAATTTTTGTCATAGAAAAACCGAAAAAATACTAATTAAACTCAAAACACAAATCCTTCATGAAATTGGACCAACCACCCAATATTTAACATCATGAACAAAAATGCAGATAGATAAATAAAACCCAAAACAATCCAGATAAGCATAAGCTCTCACAGCCGCACACATTTACAGAATGCTCAGTTCAATGGTGGTATATAATTTTTTCAAGTTCATGAAATCACAAGAGATCTGAGAATCTAAAAAAATTAAAGTTTGTCCCACCTCCCCACATTTTCTCACCTAGCAATGCTTTGCATGAGCTAATTTTCTCGAGAAAATTCAAAACATTTGCAAGGAAAGCCCAGTATTTACAGCCATTTAAAGAGTCAAATATATCGGATTGCACAGATTCGTTATAATAATTGAAAAAAAAATAAGGAAAAAAATTGGAGTTGAAAGAGTGGCAGAGCGTGGAAAAAAAGAAGAAGTAAAGGAACTTACTTTAATAAAAATCGGGAAGTGGGTAATCGAAGAAGTTCGGAATGGAATTGGAAGCTGAAGATTTTTTTGGTGGGTTTCGTGGACTGATCCAAGGGAAGAAGATGGAGACCGCTCAGCAGCTGCAGACGAAGACGAAAGGGACACAACGCCTCTAACTTCCGAACTCAAAAGCAACTCAGCAGTAAAATTATTTTCTTTTCTTTTTACTTTTTTATTTAAATCTGCTTTTGGTGATATGGGCTCATGGTTTATGGGAGGATCTTGGATTTGCGTTGGACTGGGCTTTACTCGCATGTCAGAATATTTTTCTTTATTTTTATGTAACAATATCTTTTAAGGAAGGAGGTTAATTTAAGCTTCGTAATGAAAACGTTTAATGATTCGATATGGGAGAGTCAAATATAAGACTTCTTGCTGATACGTGAAAAAAAATATTACTAAATTGTAATACTTATGATTATAAGTTTTAAAATAAATTAAAAAGTCGCACCAAATAATATATATAAGTAAAAACAAAAGGTCAAATTCGGTTTAAAACCAAATTCCACCAAAATCACCAATTATTTATTATTTGAATTAAGTTTGAATATCATGATTAGCTTTCATATGTAATAAAAGGTTACCTAAAGGATTAGTTAGTGATTATATATAAGTAACATAATGATTTTTGCAATTTACGATATAATCTAAGGATGCGCTCGTTGCACCGGATTATTTCGAACTAAATTAGCTTCAGGGACTAAGCTAGACTAGCATTAGACTAAGCTGGACTAACTTAGTAAAACGTTTGATATAGCGTTGGACTAAGAAACTGATTAATAACAAATTTTATGACACACCCCAACCGAAATCAAGGTGTGTTGGCCGTCACGTAAGGGTAATGTAGTTATGTGCATAGTGCGGAAGCAATATTAACATAAGAAATGCGAATAAATAAAAACTAAACTAACTAGAGCACTAATTAAGAACAAATGCAAGATGAAAGTAAGTGTGAATTCACAATCAGAGCATATTCTCTGGTTGCTCATATTCTATGTGATCAGTGTGTGTATATAGTAGTCTTGCTTGACCAAAACAAATTATACCGAAACCAAACGATTAAATGAATATCACAAGAAACTTTCAAACAGCATAATAGTGGCCCTCCAATTGGGCTGAGTCAAACTTCTTGTTAATTAGGGATTGTGTCAATTCCTTGGAACTGATGGAGCGTAAGCAGGGGCAAAGCTCTATGGTGGCTGGTAGGGCATGGGCCCCTCCCCATTAACAGAACACCCCATTAACACATCATTTACCACTAACACTCCAAAAATTACTCCTCATCCCCACTACACATGCTGCAGCACATACAAAGATTTTCATCCCCGTTCAACAAGTAATCAATGAATTTTATCTACTAGTCTCTAAACCCAACTCCTTTTCTCTTCACTTTGCTCACCACAAAAGATTTTCATCCCTGTTCACGCAACAATCAAATATCATATGCTTTACTTTTTTTTAGGGAATTCACTCGACAATCAACTTGAAAGCAGGGGATTTCTTTAAACCCTCAAGTATATAATGAATTCAGGTAAACATATTAACAACAATACATTCACCAATTAGGAAATAAATTTGAAATTTAAAATAATAATTGGCTTTCAAATTTGACATAAATCCTAGAAAACACTTAGCAAGACTTATGGAATCAGAAAAAAAGAGAAGATGGAGATGGTTGTAGTGGCTTACAAGACCTGTACCTCTATCATCTTTCTTCTGATTGCCGTCTTTTTCGTCTTCCTCACTCTCACTAGGCATATTCTTTGAATCCTCAATCCTCAACAAAATCTCATAAAACTCCTAGTTAGAAGCACAAAGAGTAGTGGTCGCCATAGAACACCACTTCTTCTTAGTACCCAATCTGAAACGACAAAGCATCTCAACCAGATTAGCAGCAACCTCCAGATGATAACGAGACAAGTCAATGAACCTCCTGTAATACTCATTCGCCGTCATCTTCCCCTGTCTCAATTGAGTAAATTCTTGCTTCTTGCGATCAATATACTCAGAGGGAACAAACCTCTTCTGAAACAACCATTTAAACATTTCCCAGTCAGCAATTTCCTCTGGGTTCAAATGATAAACCTCATGTTCCCACCAGGATGCTAGTTCTTGACCTAAGAACTAGGTAGCCATCTCGACCCACCTTTCAGAAGGAAGATTCCCTTGACTTTGCATCACTCGAAAAGTCTTTTCAAGATGCTCGAGCCATCGCTCTGCTCTTTCATGTCCTTCGTGACCCTCAAACTTATCCAACTTTAAATTATACATAATCTCTAGATGAGTCCTCTGAGGAGGGCGAAGACTGAATCACATAAGCTATAACTTCCCTCAACTGAGCTATATTGGGGAAACTAGGCTTAGCTGAACGATGTGACTCTCTACGAGGCGGCATAGTTCTGACAGAAGACACCAAGATAATTATAATACTCACAAAATATGCAGGACTGCTAAATCAATGCGTGCTGACCGTCACATGAGGGTGACGTAGCCATGTGCACAATGCGGAAGCAATATTAACATAAGAAATGCAAATAAATAAAAACCAAACTAACTAGAGCACTAACTAAGGACAAGTGCAATGTGAAAGTAAGTGTGAATTCACAACCAGAACATAAGTAGCCTAAGTGCAATCTAGTAAGATGAATACTAATTACACAACACCAAAGATAATCCTACAATGATGATAATTTGTCAAAGCTGCCATGGATTCCACGCAAGCCACCAAAAAGCACTCCTAACTAGAACCTAGAAAAGCTCAAAA